TGTTGTCCCTGTTCTCCTCTAAGCCAGATCTATTGGACAGGCTGGCACAACCAGGACCCAGACTTTACCCGCCTTCCAGCCTGGGGGCAAAGCTAACCAGTATTTACAGAATGAGGGTTCAGTCAGGAGCGGTAGTAAAAATCTGGACAGAAGACATTTTTATTCACAGCCCATCCCAGAATAGCGTGGTGGCTTTTCTGGTCAATTTGCTATTACAGGATGAGCCAGCAGAGGAATTCATACCGAGCTTGTCCATAAAGCAGGGGGCAAAGGGAAAGAAAAGACTTGCTTGTGTTAGTTAGAGCAGCAGGGTCATATGAATACTGATACACAACTGGAAAATCTATAAAGCCATCATTTTGGCTTTTTAATAAACGTCTAGTCTTTTGTAATATTTTCAAAATGAAAAGTAATGTATTTATGAATTTCCTGGCACGTTCTGCGGACAGCAAACAATTTCCTATGCTGCCTCGATGCCCTTCGGACAAGGATTAGAAGGCAGGCGACTGACGGAGGCCTGACTGAGCTGCGGGCCCTCTGGGGCCCTACTCATCCAGGCCTGCATAGTCCTCATCCTCATATCCACTCTGCATCACCAGGGCAATAACAGCCTTTATTAAAAGCGCATTGCAGCAGTGTCTGTCTATACAACTTACTTTCAGATTGGCCATAATGTGGCATGTAGAAAGGGTTTGGTGGTTAGGGGCTACAATATCCTGTTTCTGGAAAGGTTTACTTTGCATTTTAACAAGCATGAATAAAGGAGGACATTCCAGAAATGGCTACCGTCTGTTTTGCTCTTGCCCTTAGGGAGCAAAAGCTCAGACCATGGCCCTTGCATGCCATCAGAGCGTGGCCTGGCTCACCTCTGATTTTACCTGGCTTTAGCAGCTTTAGCTTAGCCACCGGACATGCAGATAGCAGGGCATGATAGAGTATGATAGCAAGGGAGAGAAAAGCCCTTTTAATATGTTGTTGGTAGCAGAGGATAAGGCAAAAGGATGAAGGCAAGGTTCAATATAATGCATATTAGATATTTGGAACAGTAATTTTGACAGACTGCACGTCGACACAAGCGCTCTGCCATCACTGAATCTCGATGTAAGCTGCAAGGTGCTGTTTTTCCATGTCGCAGCCCATTTTCCAGCTTTTTCCAGAGTGTCTCAAGAATTATGCATGAGGTGGAGAGGGAGAGGGAGGCAATGTGGGGAGGGAAGAGAAATGCCTCTGTTGTCAGGACAGGCCTTACTATTAGGTGTGTGACCCTGAAAGCGCACCCCTTTTAGCGAAACAAGCAATGGATCTCATTTTGGATACCACTATTATGCAGTAATTTGTATGCATCCTTTCGTCTCATTTCCATTTAATAATGCACACAGCTCCCCCTGCCCAGTTTCTCAAACTGGTCATTAAAAGTAACGCTGATCTAAACTGGAGGCTTAAGTTCCACTTACAAGCTCTCACTGTGTGCTGGGTGAAACAACTGCAGAGTTAAAGTGGGATGACCCCCTCCCCAAACCAGTCTTCGCCCTTGAATACCCAGGGCCTGTATGTCTACACAGACGGGAGACAATGACTGGTGGCTGCCCAGGCGGCCCCGGCCCCAGCCTTCTCCTTCCCAGCCTCCTAGACTCACAGACAGGGATTTCCTCCTGTGATGAGAGCCAAGCCGTCACAGCCCAGCGATCAAGGGCCTGCCATCTGTGACTGAGGCAGATTTACAGCAGGAGCTAATCCACACTGTCAGCCACGTTTGTTCTCCATCTCTGCCTCCTCCATACACATGCGTAGAAACGCACACACGTAAACCACCACAGAAAAATACAAATGTTTTACTCTTATAAAATTTTTTCGCCTGCATCTCTCTGTCTCTCTCTCTCTCTCTCTGTCTCTCTCACTCACACACACACACAAACCAAAGCAAACATTCCCCGCAGAAGGGCATCCACCCTTCAGTGCAATTTAACTTTGCCCTTTTTAAAGGCATGATCTCATTCTGTTCTATGCTCAAAAAATAACTTTAGTCGATTAAATGTTAAGAAATGAGAAACCTCAATGTGTCATTGAGTTATATGCCCTGGTGAACATCATTCATAGGAAATAGGGTCATCACACGCTCAAGTGTCACACTAGCTCTCACACGCAACCTCCCCAAAATTGTCTCCCCCACTTCTTTTTGCTTCCGTTCCTCGTCACTTTCCCTTGTTCTCCATATATCGGTCTCTCTCATGCACATACATCTCAATGCTTTACGCTGTCAGCAGTCACCATTAACCCCTACACTTGACACCAACATGGCACTCAGTTTTACCTTTCCTCTGTAACCACTAAACCTAAAATATATTTTGTCCTCATGCTGTCAAACCAGCTGTCCTCACAAGTGAATGCTTCATGGGAGTTTTAACATTTTCCTCTCGCCTTCTCTGTCACACACATGTCTCTCTTTTCTATTTTTTGTGTCTACCTGCCACCTGGTAATGAGCTGCTATCCTTAAAACTAGAGGGCTAGCACTGCTGCAGACATTGGTTCAAGTCAGTGCTGAGCTTTAGTCAGTGAGCTCTGTATTCGGGGCAGCTGTGTGGGACTGGGGTCCCTCTGCGGCCCCCTTTGTTTCCCCCACAGATAAAGGGTTAAAGAAGACAAATGGAGGCGGGGCCACGGAGAAACATGCCTAAGCAGCACATTTTCAGTATGAGCAAGAATTAAAACAATGCAAGCCTTTTATCCCTGTGTTAGTCTAATTGGAAAGAAACCTCAAATCTGCTGCCCTTGCTCTCCTCGGACATCGAGCCCAGAGGAGATATGTGGCATCGAATCCCTGCAGTCTGCTGCATCCACATAAGGGGTATTAATATGCAATGCTGTTAAGTGTAAAAATTTTGGGGAGGGCGTGGAGAAGGCTTCATATGTTTTGCAAAAAGATCCCAGGCAGGCTACAACTCCAGGACCTAACGCCAGCAGAGACCCACTCACAGGATCACAGAACAGCAGCAGGCAGGGGAATTACTGTCTAGGTGACCCAGAAATCCAGGGGCAACTTTGTTTTAACAAGCCAGGGAACGTTCCACCACTTTAGCAACTCTGCCTCAACCACAAAAAAGAGCCCTGTGCCACAGAAGAGCTAGCGAGGAGGAAATTAAATATTACACTGGGAGGGAATGGTTCAGCCTTGGTGGAGGGGTGGGGCTGTGAGGTGGACCGGTGCAGCTGAGGCTGTTGGAACAAGGCATCTGGGGTGTGAAATAGTAGAAGTGAGAGGTGTGGAGTCAGCAATTTTAGAGTTAATGACAAAGCGGTATGATCATTATTGAGGTAAATTGATCGAGATTTTATTTTTCCACACCTCATAACATTTGAAAAAGAAACAAATGGAGGTGGTATCGGATTGAAAACAATGACTAAGATCTAAACAATAACGGGTCATAACTACCGATCTGGTGTTTCTGTGCTTATCTGTCTAATGCTCTTTGTAAAAGAGCAGAATGAATTTTCCCTATGAGGGCTTATAATTAGTGAAACAAAAAAAAGCCTTTTACATTTTGTTAGATACTAGTGGTCTGCTAAGTAAGTGAGGGTTATTGTAATTTGATGAAGCTCTGCAGGGGAGTAACTGCCGTCTACGTGTGTCTCTATCTGTGTAATGATACTACCCACACACAGCCCCACTGCAGGGGCCCATTACCTAACCTAAAGCTCGGATCCCTCACCCTGGCATAAACATGGGCATCCTGCACATCAAAGGTTAACAGAGAAAAAAGGGGATTGATAAACACAACATCTGCTAAAAAGAAAAAGGGAGAGAAACACACTTATTTGCAAACAGCACAACAACTCCTCCTGTCTGAACACACAGAAGTAAATTCCCAACCCCCAACCCTTTTAACCTAAATGGCCCTTCCTCTTGCCTTTGCATGTTCGCTGTCCACTGTACTGTAGTCATTAACATATTTGGAGTGCAGCGAGCAGAAAGCTTAATTGTCCCTAATTGCTCAGCTAAATATGTTCTCTAATGATTTGCTTCAGATCTGTGACTGCCTTTTGCGCAATTTCCCGGCCGCTGGCTTCATTATCCCTGCCTCCTTGGAACAAAGCATCTTCACAGGCTGGCCTTTTTTTCCCCCTGCATAACACAGACAGCTAGTATGTGTGCGAGGGAAGTAATGGCTCCCTCTTGGAGGGACACACAATAGAGCCCCTTTGTCAGGGCACAGGAGTTAAAGTGATTGGAAAACCAAATCTCTGCTAAGAAAGAGTGTTAATTGACCACAGCTCACTCTTCCTAATCAGTCCATAATAAATGAGCAGCCGAGGCACTTTGTTTCAGTCGTGCTACTGTTGTTGTAGCTGTGTCTGTTTTGTGGTGTTCTTGTTGTTGTTGCAGCTGCTGCTGTTGCTGGGCTCCTCCTTCTCTGGCCTTAATGCTCGGTCTCAATATGTCTTTGATAGCTAAAAAAAGGGACAGCTCCCATTAACAGGGATCTCGGCTTTCACTGCTGAGGGCAGGAATATTATTGTGGAAATGATATCGACCTAAAATTATATCAATATCAAAAATACATTTGAAAAATAAAGTTTTTTTTATTTAGATGGAGGGACATTCCCCCAGGAATCTTTTTTATTTTATCTTTAAATGGGAACACCTCTTCTCTTTTTAGTTACAAAGTGACTCAGCTCTGTCAATGTATAAGTCATACTGAGTGGTGTGTTGTACTATTCTTCCTATCTAAAAATAGTGATGTATATTTGAGTTTAATACTTCTGTTTTTCAATTATGGCTGTATCCCACACAAAAACCCACTTCTATGGGAAGGTAAGTGTAAAAGCAAGAGAGTGACAAATTGTGAACCCACATTTGACAGCTCAGGCATATCAGCGGATCAGATGAATGTGTGTTTATGTGTACAAGAGACAGAGCAGCAGAGGTGGAGAGATCGAGAGTAAAAGGAAGACAGGCACATAAAGAGATACTAAGAAAAAGGCCACAGGGGCAGGTTCTGACCTGTATCCGAGGAAGGGCATTTGCGAATGGTGAAGATGGAGCTGAGGTCTTCCTCCTCCTCTGGCAGGCCCTTCTGCAAGCGCTGAAGCTTCCTGAGGCTCTCACTGCGCTGGTGCTTCATGGAGCGCACATGCTGGATCAGGTTGAGCTTGGCCTTGGTCGAGTAGTTGCACAGCACACAATGGTAGTAGCAGGCATCACCCTCCACCGCGTTTTCGTGCTGCTGCAGGTGCTGTGGGAGGGAATGTAGAGAGCAAGAGAGAGGGAGAGACAGAGAGAGATAGAGAAAGGAAGGAACACAGAGAAAGAGAGAGAGAGGGAAAGAAAGAGAAAGAGGTTATTGTACACGGCAGATAGCTGGCTAGGCACCACCGACTCACTTTCACTCAAACAGTTGGCAAATGAACAAATCAATTCCCAATCACAGCCCTGTTGTTTAACATCCAGACCTCTTCCACTTCAGGACAACTGTTTGGACTGCGCACTTTGTCTGCATGAGTGTCTGTATCAGTGGGCTAACAGGACAGGAGAGGCCTGGGAGGCACGCAAATCTCAGGGGCCCAAGGGCGGGCAGGAATCACATCAGCCACCCTTCAGAAGCCGTGGGTCTACAGCCTCACAGACGGAAGTGAGCATTGATCCCCTTCACTCAACAGAAGCCTCCCGTCTCTGAAAAGGAAACTCCAAACATCTGCTTGTTTCACGCATGGGATACTAAATATTGATCATGGTGAGTTAAATCCTCGCTCTCTCATAGAGAAAGAGAGACAAAGTCAGCCGGTGGTGAGGCAGGAGGGGGATTTAGCACACTCTGAGAGAAACTGGAACATTCCACAACAGGAGGACAACCTTCGGAGGACGAGAAATCAGCACCGGTATTGACCTGTCAACCCCAGCACATCCTCCAAGACTCAACAGCAGGCCTAGTCCAGCCGTCAGCCCACCCTCCGCAGCATCACCACATGCCTAACGCCCCGTAGTGACACCATACCACCACAACCTCTTGTCACACCACAGAGCTCCAGTCTAATTACCTCCTGCATGGCTCAATCAATGATGCAAGGCCAACACAATATGGCTGGGCCTGGTGTGAGCAACAGAGTTATTGACCACTATCCTAAAGCATCACACTGATTGTTTCTGCATGTTTACAATAAAAGCCCCAGACTCGGTATGGCCACTTGTGTCATGCCTGTCATGTGCTGCTCCTAATATCAAACTCTGGAGTCTCGCTGCGGATTTCTGCGGCTGCAATCAATGTCAATCACCAAAAGTTTTCCTCTTTTTCCTCTAATCTTCTTGGCGCCCATGTCTCCTGTGAGGCATGCTGAGTGAACAAAATGTGATGGAATATGTTATGTTGTGTTATCTATGTCCAACAAAATATTGTGGATGAACATAGATGCTTTTAATATGTACATGTCAAGGAAACACTATTGGAAAGATTTAATAGTAAATTAATCTGCCATTTCTAACCAGGTGAAATGCACTGATGAATATTTACTTGCAGTGAGAAGACGCTCAAGTCATTAACAATCCTAAAAGCTTGTGATCAGTATTTTCGATCAGGTTTCATCACTAGATCTGCATTTTAAGAGTATAAACCTTCCTGTGTTCAAAGGTTCAGAGAACTAAAGCATTCATCAAGAAGACACTGAGCTACCCCCTCCTACACTGGATGGCCTGTTTGGCTGGCTGCAAAATGTAAAAGCAATGGAAACATTAGACATTTAACCACATTACATCTAAATCAGGTGTTGACAGGCTGGTGAAAAAAAGTCATAACAATATTATGCTTCCCTAAAATGCTCTTGTCCCTTTCTCCTAATGTTTAATTTTCTGGCAATATTATAATATTGCTATGGGGTTTTCTGAGCTATTGTGTTTCATTCTCTTTGGTTTCATATTTCTCACTTCTACACCTAAAATGTGCATTAAGACACCGCTTCCAGGAAAAGGAATAGGAGTTTTTTTTTTCTCTCTCCTTTTTGTGAGCCCCACAGCTCAGTGTAATAGAGTTATTAGGTGATTGTAAAAGGCTCTGTGTCTCTGTGTGCTCTCCTTTCTCGCCTCGTTTTAAGCCATCCATGATGTCATGAATAGGTGTTGCTGGATATTGTGGGAGCCCTCCTCCTTTTTCCTCTGTGCACAAATATTGCATCAGAACTAAGGTAGAGAGAAACCTGAGAGACAGATTCAGTTATAGATAACACCAAATCCATCATGCAAACGTTTTTTACTAAGAGCAGATGTCTTGAGCAAATGACTCAAGGCTCCAAAAATCTACAAGAAGACAAGCTGAAAAAAAAAAAAAAAAAAAAAATGACAGCACCTGACCGAAACTTCAAAGCTAGTCTCAGGAGGTAGAAAAAAAATCCTGGGAGTTTTATAGTTTCCCATAAAAAGCACAGGGTTTATATAGGAGTGAACCTGAGACCGCCTGCCCCTGAATCGGCCATAATTCACTATAAACCTGACGGGCCAGGAAGATGGCCTCAACAGAGCCAAAATTTGCCTGCCCCATAGCTCTGTCTACAATGTCAAACGGTTACACCTGTAAACCTCCACTTTCACCATCTCTGCACTGGCCGTGACCCAACGCAGTCTGGGGCATTTTAGAGTCAGTGAACGGGGTAAGAGATCAAACCAACGAGTGATCAGTGAGGTGCCCCCTGCTCATTCAGTATTCCGGGGAGGACCAAGGCAAAATGATACCACAGAGCCTAGGAGAACAGCATAGCTTGGCCCATGAGTGCAAAACCCCTCTGATCATCACAAGCACTAACTCTATCTAACATGGATTCCCACTGGATTCCGCAGGAATTATCCATAGGATTATAGCTAAGAGCACAACACAGTATGGACACAGTACACTCGCAGTCCATCACCCTCTGCGGTTCACAAACACACGCATGCATACACACTCTGAATGTAAAACATAATAATGCATGAGACAGGGACTATGTCTGTTTCCTATGAACCTGCAATGAAGCCCCTAGTTGATAAATCACCTCCAACTGGAGTGCAGGAATTTGGCGGCTTAATGAAAAAGTCATGTTGAGCTGGGAGGAGTTGGTCGGCCCGGCTATGAGGTTTCTGAGCGTCCTGTCGAGGCCCCAACAGGAGGGGAGCTGTGGAGCATGATGGGGGGGGCTGGCTGGGTCAGTGGCATGGATTCAATACCACTGAACTGTCTGGGAATTTACAACAGTCATATAGGAGATTCAGCTGAGCAAGAACAAATGTGTGACCATCTAGAAGGCAGTGATGTTCTCAATGGCAATTGGGCATGGGAGACATGCTGTGTGCATGTGAATGTACTGTATGTGTGGTCTGATTCAACAGATAAGATCACAAAGATACTTTGACTGTGGGTAAAAATACTTCAGTTATGCTTTAGTTATACTGCAGTGTTCTAAAAGAAAGATGTGAGTCTGCTACCTTAAAATCTGAGTCTGGTTTGATTATTCTAAAATATACTAAGCTACCTTTGTTGTTTTATGCATTTTACAAAATGTTCTAAAATACAGTGGAATTAAGAGATCACCTTCAATCTGGTTTTTCTGCTGAAAAGCCTGATTTTAAGCTTTGTTTTATACTGTGGTGATTTTCACAGTTAAAAAATGCAATCGTGGTTTTTCAAGCCTCTCTCTTCCATGGAGCACCTTATCTCTTTCTGTGGAGGCTGAAGCAGTGCTCTGTGCTTTTTCAGGTAAAGAGGGACAGGGGCGGTGTGGGCACCACCCCATCCTCTCTCACACAACTCTACAGTGCACCTTGGCCTCTGAGTGGGCAATGCACGCCTGTATCAGTTTCACCACCCACCCAGAGCACTGCATACATCTGCATTTCCATCCACTTAAATGCAAAGTAAAAGTGCACCTTTAACACAAAACAGTGTGGTTGCTGAGAGAGTCCAACTAACACAAGATAGAGGTGGGTATTACTGGAAGGGTGGAAGGGAGACAGAGAGCCGGTAATTCCAAAGAATGGCTCCCAATGGAGCCGTATAATACAGCATGTACACGCAACAAACACGTACAATAATATAGACAAAGAAGACATCAGACATGTACACACACAAACATGCACGCATGCACATACAGACTCTCACACACACAGCCAGATACCATTACGATCATACCCTAATTTCCACCATTAAATTTGGCAGTGCTGTTAATACAAAATTAATGCATTAAAACAGATGACTATCTGTGAGCTAAATAGCTATCAATTCTAAGAGAGCTGCCAAATTCCCCTCTGTGAGAGAGCCAGTGAGTATCTGCCTGGATATTGCTTTGTAACTGTCTCCCCCTCCCCACCTCCCCCCTATTCTCGGCACTAAAAGCTGGTGTCTGAGTATGTGTACGTGTGTGTGCCATGGGAGGCTTACTCGGGTTAGAAAACTGCAATTCACACCTGATGCCACGCAATGCACTGCAATAGACCAAACCTGTCTCCTCATGTGAATGAGAATATTTTATCCTCAAAAATCACAGAGGTAGGAGTCAGCTTTTCTCTATCACCAGAGAAGAAAATATACAAACTAGCTCTTGGCTTGAGACGTGTTAGAATAAGCCAAGCAGCACCTTTGTTATTCAAACACAATGATGTCATGGCAGTGAGGTAACTGTATTTCACTCTGAAGAGAGACAATGTAATGTGGCTGTTGGGTTGAAAAACACACCGTGGCCAAAGGGAGAAGCAAACACCCCTATGTGTGTCTCAATTCACTGTTAGACAACTGCGGCCACAGCGTGCATGTACTGTGTGTATATGTATGTTTCTTATGATCCTGTTGCATCCAAAAGAGAAAAGCTAAAAAGTAGTTGCTGTCTAATTATGAAGGTTATAAATCAGGATTATGTTAAATTTAAAATATATATATTTTAATGATGAGGATTAAGTTTGAGGTTAGGGTCTAGAGAATGAAAATATTTTAGTTTAATGACCCCCTTTCTTCCCAGCTGCAGTGTATTTGTACATGTGCAGAGGTTTGTTGGGGACTTGATTCTCATAAATCTGCACTCTGGGATTCCCCTGGAACGTAAGCAGGTTATTTAGTAAAGCGAAGCGGAGTGACTGGAGTCAGTGAGTGCTCGCAGTTTGGCCTGTGTTTCCCTGTCTGCCAGCAGCACGAACAACAGCTCCAACCACAGAGGCCCCACTGTGTGCCAAGTGCGGTGGCTGCTTTGAATTAGCCACTGCAAGCTGCAACATGCCTAAAAGTTA